CCGAGCCAAGTCACGGCTCATCGCTTCTCGTGTGCCATCCGCACCCCTGATGTACGGCGGCTGAACCGGATGGTTTCTGAGCGCTGCCATCCTACACCCATTGTAAGGAATCACGTCAGCCGGCCGCACAGCGCTGCTTATCTGCTGGTGGCTGGCAACCCACCTCCCTTCGGCACAGACGCCGGATCCCACAGGACAGAGAGCCGTAACGCGCGCTGCGTCGCCGCGGGCTCAGCGCGGGGCTGGCCGGGACGTGGTGCCAGCACCGAATGGAAGGTTTAACCTGCCGGGCCTATGTGTCTGAACGAGGCCTGGAAACCAACCACGAAGTATTAGGGAGGCATATGAAGATACTGTGATAAGAGTTTATATATTCACTACTTCTTTTAAGGGATCAAAAACATCCTGATTGGGTTTTTTTAGCTAGCTGTATGGAAATCTTGCTTTTATGTGAAACAGCCAGATACGTAATGGGAATACAATGGAAAAAACACAAGCATGTTACGCACACTTTTCACTTGGAGGTTTACGACAATAACATTATTTCTGCTGGCCTACGGTTGTAAAAAAAATAATGAAAGCTAATGTTACCGTTAGCTAATGAAAGAGCTACTTGTGAAAACAAGTTTGATGCTGTAAAATATGGCTTATAGAGGAAAGGGCAGGTCGCTAATATACCAAATTAATGAACAGAGAGACTCGTAATTGCTTGGACCTTGGGTAAATAGTCATCTAACAACTCGCAGAGAATGAAGCTGTTCAGTTGTTATAATGCTGGGCTGAATTCCCTCCAGTCTAATAATATTTAGCATGCACAATTTTTTACCTTTATTTTTAAAAGCTTGCAATTCGCAAGCATAGAAAGAGTCTTGGTTTTGTGATAATTTTAGCGTTTAAAAAGAAACTTATTACATGGCTAAATCCAAAAAAGGCCACATGCAAAACCAAGGTCACTCCCAAAAGCCCCTCCTTCGAAAGGGGCACGAACCACTGCTCAAGGTTTAGGCTCTGACTTCGGGCCTGGCAAAGTTGAGCTCAACTGCTGCAAGGCCTCTTCCATGTGTGGACCGGGAAGCAACGAGGGGCCTCTAACCCATCGCTTCTCCGCGTGTCAACCGCCACCAGCGTGTCACAGCCCTCCAGTGTCAGGACAGCGACACACATGGACACAGAAGGCAGGGCAAGACCTGGGCGATCACGTAAGACCGTTCATAATTTTACTTTAAGCCCGTCTCCTCAATGCCTTTCCTGCTTCCTGCCTTCGCTAGTTTTTTGGAGGACTGTTGATAAAGGAAAGCAACAGCCTCAGTGCTATGGTGGTGGCACCCGAAGCAAAGAGATGTTAACAAACAGGCAGCGTGTGCTGGCAGAGGCCGGAATAATGCGACGCCTTTCCTACCTGCCATGGAGGTAAATACACCAGAAATCACATCATCTTTCCTCATGGCAGGACGTTACAGAAGGCCTCCAGGTGGACAAAACCCTGTTATCAACCCACTAGTGACGACGACAGTGAGAAACCCCTGAATTCCTCAGCCTTAGCGAAGAGCCCGTACCAGGGCAGCAGAAAACAACAGGGATATTCAGCAATCTTTGGCGCGTCCCTGCCCTCCTGCACCTTCCATATTCAGGTATCTGCAGGAGGTGAAACTTAGGACAAGGAATTCACATTTAGCTCCACTTTTACTTGGAAAGGCATGAAATTAATAGAAAAATTAAGGGGACTATCATGCAAATAAGCGATTGACAGCCTTCTTTTGGAGAGGTTATGTCAGGCTTTCGGAGGTCTGAATAAGCTCCGTAAGCCCAAGGGAGTCGGGGAGACCAAACCCTGACATATCAACCAACAGGGCTCCAAACCATCCCCCAAACCCACATTTTGACCATTTCACCTGCTGCGGCCGCAGGGTCAGCCCCAAGCCGGGGGTGCACTTCCACCAGCAGCCATCCTGCTCCCGTCCCGGCTGCGGTGCG